CGGAGGCACTCAATGAACTAACTCTTGAGACAATTTCATGAAACTTTAGTTATTCTCTGTCTTCGGGTGCACTTCTAATAGCATGGAATCACCAATAATTGTAAATATATACAAAATATTAATAAATTGAATTGAATTCAATTGAAACTGGGTAGCTCACCATCCATAGGTGAACGAAAAACCAATAGAGGAAAGTTATAGTTTTAGGAAAGGGATTATTCCGGAAGAAAGACCCTTAGGAAAAATTAATTTCCGAAAAAAGATTGAGAGAGCTGTTTATTAAGTTCATCGTCCAATGGCTCGTCAAGCAGGCATCATAAGCAGTAGGGTTCTCAGATTATTATTTGCAGACACTCACAAGGGACAAACTGAAGGTCCAAAATAGTAAATAAGATGATATTAAAAAGAAAATTAAATTTGGAATGTGACATTGCGTTTTTAACGTGTGATTGATCACTATTTCTAATTAAAGTATTGTTCTACAGTAAAAGTGAATCTTTATCTAATAAGAAAATCATTCCTAAATTCCCATTTTTAGCCAAAAAACTATATTTAATATAAAAAATTAATTCATTTGAGGTATTACTTGGGATACGATCTCTTTCTAATAATATATGGCCTTGATGCTCTAAAACAAACAAATGTCTGTAAAAAAATATCTGGAAAACGATCTTCTAGCTATATTTCACTTGGTCAAAAAAGCCTCTAGCGCCATCATATTAATCACACTAAATAACGTACCTTTTCAGCATTTGTTTTAAAGTTTAGTCTGCCTTTCTGTATGAAGTAAAAGTATGAACATTTGAAATGAATGCTCCATTTCAAACGAATGAGAGTGAATGTTGGAGTTTGTACACGGGCATGACGATCGAAATCATGAAGCAACCGGACTTTTTCAAGAACCCGCTTATTATTGTTACTTACTTCAACGTGGTTTTGTCCATTTCGGCAACACTTGGAAATGGATTGATTATCGTCGCCATCTTGAGATCCCAGAGACTCAGAACGCCTTCTTACCTACTGATAACAAGTTTGGCGTTCACAGATCTTCTGATCGGATTGGTGTATCATCCGTTTACAGCTGTCCTTCTTGTTCTTATGCTGAATGGGGATATACAAGAATTTTGTAATAACGCTTTTATTTTGACCGGGAACTCTCTAAGCGGTTTTCTTTTGCTAGTCTCACTCGTTATGAATGCTTTCATCAGTATCGACAGATATCTGGCGTTGAGTCTAAGACACCGATATAGAATTTATGTCACGAAGAAGCGAGCTCGTATCGTTATCATATTTGGATGGGTTGGRTGTCCTTTTATTTTTCTTTTAATCAATGTTACCTCGAAGTCGGAAAAYCGAGATTTATTRCGGAGCCTTGTGTTAGTTWYWATTACATTTGCAGCASTAATTCTCAGCATTTCTCTTTACGTTATGTCCTTTGTAACYCTTCATCGTTACACATCACAAGTGCACGTCCAACAGCTCCACTCAACTACWTCAAACGGCAACTTTGATGTTGCAAAATACAGAAAAACGTTAAAGACGATGGTCGGCATATTGGGATGTTTTATACTTTGTTCCGGTGGTCTACTAGTAGCAAACATTGCTTTTCTTATTACTGATGAATTTGATCAATTTTCAGTCTTAGTCCTTATTGTTAGCTATACATTATTTGGTGCTTGTTCCAGTATTAATCCAGTTATTTATTTGACCAGATTTAAAGATATCGGGCAAGAGAGTAAGCAGCTTTTACTGAAAATGTGTTGAGAAAATGCTAAGAGAAAAACAATATGCGCCCATGTATATTAAATATCCTCAATTTATACGATCCAAGGAAGATTCAGGTCGCTTACGACGCTTTCACGCAAGATTGATTCATGAAAGGGGATATCTATCTTAAGCTAGGATATGGGTGTGACAAGGATAACTTTACATAAAATGGTGGGAACTAGCGGTAAACTAGTGTGAGCTGCGTCGGTGTTTCTAAAGAAACAGTTGTGTAAAAAGATAAATTTAACACCGTAAAAAAGTATGTGGAATAACTTACTGACGTTTCGGATGTTAATCCTTCGTCGGAGTAAAGACTCTCTTACTCCGACTTCTCTTTACTCCGACGAAGGATTAACATCCGAAACGTCAGTAAGTTATTCCACATACTTTTTTACGGTGTTAAATTTATCTTTTTACATAACTGTAACTTTACATAATATAGGTATATTGTATAGAAAAAAACTTTTTAACAGTTTTAAAAAACTGAAAAAATATTACTGTGGAACTTGATCTAACTTCTGGAGTGTYTTTTTTTAATGTCATCGCAAAGCTCATTGAGATGTTCGTCATTTCCAAACAGAAGCTCAAGAAACTCTTGGTAAGCAGCTAAAGTTGGACTGGAAGCGAAAAACACCAAAATCAAGGCGACGGGGATTTTTATATTTTTATTTTTATAGAGAGGTTAACCTCTATTATTACCAAGAACTTTCAGGCTTTGGTTCATCATAAGTTTTGTTCAAACTTTTAGAATATTCTTCACTCTATGAAGTGAAAGAAATGGCGCTCGTCAGGCATTCTTTAGGGAACTGTTAACAGCGACTGTCATGTAGCCCTCGAGGCAAAAGGAAAGAAGTGGACATAAGAAGTTATGTGTGAGTGTCACAGTAGTATAGACCATCATGAGATTGATATAACTCGGGCCGGTACCAAAAGAATTGAACCATGTTCGAAAGATCTTTTTCAAAACTCTATGCYCAAGAGTAGCCGAATGAAACGATTCCCATGCCAATGCAACAAATGATGTAAAGCATGAAATGAGTATGTGAGGCCATCAAAAAAATTTTCCGCAAATATGAAAAGGAGATAACAGAGAACACAAAAATGCACRCACAAAAATGTATGTTGGTAAAGAGCTTATCCGAATAGTCGAAAGCACCATCAAATATTTCATCTGGAATACAACACTTATTGTGGATTATAATTATGTGAGGGGTTTTTTTAGTTTCTTAATTTGACTTTGATCAGTTGCTTATCAACAACATGTCTGACACTGCGTTTTATCAAAAAAGAGTCTTATTGATCACGTTGTCAAATTCCTTTTGTGCCTTTAAAAACACATGATGGAGAAAAACTTATTTTGAAAGAAATTAATACATGTACATGGTAACTTCCTACTGATATCCACAAAATAATCTTGCAGAGAACTTTTCATGTATTAGGTTAAGTAAATATCAATTTTAACTGTCATCCATGTCATYGATTAAGTTTTATATTATAGCTCAATTCTAACACGCCCGCTGATTGTCGGATTTCATGAGAAAAGCTATGGTTTATTTGGCCGGTAAACCAGGCTGCTGTCTTGAAAGACTAGGAGTCTAAATGGCGGTAAAATGTACTATGTAAATGTAATATTGCTTAATTTTTTAGCTTTGCTACACTAAACAAGTCGTTTAGTTTCTTAACTAGTTTCAATTGTATTGGAATCACAAAAAAGTCCAAGAATATTTGCAGTCATAACGATCGATTTCATCGATTTTGTTTTGGAACCCCATTATTTTGCATTATCACCAACAGCTGTTGATCTTTATAGAGGAAAAGCTTAACGAAACGCGGTGAATTATCAAGATAGTCTATGACTGTACTGTCGGGGGCAACAAACGTACTAACACCATGCAAATTTGCATCGATTTGAAAAACCTGCAGCTCGAAGTGAMTATTTCCAAACGTGTACTGAACTAGAATTTTCTCATTGACGATTGTCCAGACTTCTGAAAATGAATGCGAGCGATTGTTCACATAATTATGCACCAGARGTTATRACGAACTATGATATTCTAAGGATTCGAATCATYGTTATTACTTTCTTTAACGTGGTTTTGTCCATCTCGGCGTTGCTTGGAAATGCGTTGATTATTTTCGCCATCTTGAGATCCCAGAACCTCCAAACACCGTCTTATTTACTGATAACAAGTTTGGCGTTCACAGATCTTCTGATTGGATTGGTGTATCATCCTTATTTTACCTTAGTTAACATTCTCTTGTTGAATAAGAATGTGAAAGTACTGTGTAATAACGAYGTCCTTTTGTCTGCTGGCGCCAACATCAGTACTTTCCTTGCTCTTATTTCACTCGTTATGAACGCTTTCATCAGTATCGACAGATATCTAGCGCTGAGYCTAAGACACCGATACAGAATTCAYGTYACGAAAAAGCGAGTTCGAACMATGATCATATTTGCCTGGRCTGGAACTGCATTATTAGATGTCACGCTTACATTTATCTCTGAGGTTACACGSAAGTATTTTTACATTTCAGCGCTTTTTGTTTCTTTTGCAACACTAATAATTACTGTYATTCTTTACGTCATGTCATTTGTGATTCTTCATCGTTACACATCAAAAGTGCACATCCAAGATCCCAACTCTTTGCACTGTAATTTTGATGTTGCAAAATACAAAAAAACGTTGAAGACGATGGTCGCCATATTGGGGTGTTTCATGGTTTGTTCAAGTTTCATCTTAGCAGCATTCATTGCTCAATCTGTTGCAGGATACAATACATATACTGTATTAGCTGGTATGGTTAGTTCTACAATATTTGGTGCTTGTTCAAGTATCAATCCAGTTATCTATTTGACAAGATTTAAAGATATTGAACAAGAAAGTAAGGTATTTTTGAAAAGTTTTGTCGACAAAAGAAGTAGATGATGACATAACTCTTGCTCAGGATTGTCTGGTCCTAGGTGAAGAATCATGACAAAAAATGTAAATACCTAAAAGCTTCATTGAGCTTCATTGATGTAATGATGGAATTGATGCAACAATATTCTATCAGAAGAMAAGAACATATATAGATGAATTTGATCGTACGCTTTATTAGATTTCTTAGCAG